ACATTCATAAAATTAGTAAAGATCGATTCAGTATAATTATCTATCACCTTAAATATTTGTCTTTTCTTTATGCTAGAAACATTCAAATTACTCTCTTCTAGCTATTTTGAAATATACAATAGATTATTATAAACTATAGTCACCCTACTGATCTATCAAACACTAGGTCTTATTTCTTTTATCACACTGTATATTCGTACCCATTAATCAACCTTTCTTCATTCTTCCCTCCCTATTACCCTTCCCACCTTCTGGTAACCACCAATTTACTCTCCATCTTCATGAGATCCACTTTTTAAACTCCCATATATAAGCAAGAACATGCAATATTTTCCTGTCTGTGCTTGGCTTATTTTACTTAATGTAATGACCTCCAGTTCCATCCACGTTTCTGCAAATGACAGGATTTCATTCTTTTTTATGGATGAATAATAATATTCCATTGTGTATATATACCACATTATCCATTCAACCATTGACACTTAGGTCGATTCTGTATTTCAGCTATTGTGAATAGTGCTGCAATAAACATGGGAGTGCAGATATCTCTTCGATGTATTGATTTCCCTTCTTTTGGATATATAATCAGTAATGGAATTGCTGGATCATATGGTAGTTCTATTTTTAGTTTTCTGAGGAAACTCCATATAGTTTTCCATAGTGAATATACTAATTTTCATTCCTACCAACAGTGTATGAGTGTTCTTTCTCTACATCCTCACTACATTTGCTATTCCTTGTCTTTTTAATAAAAGCCATTTGAACTTGGGTGAGGTGATATCTCATTGTGGTTTGATTTGTTTTTGTATATGGTGAGAGATGGGGGCCTAGTTTCATTTTTCTGCATATGGTTATACAGTTTTCCCAGCACCATTTATTGAAGAGACTGTCCTTTTCCCCACTGTAGGTTCTTGACACTCTTGTCGACTGTAGATGTATTGATTTATATCTGCATTCTCTATTCTGTTCCATTAGTCTATGTGTCTGTTTTTAGCCCAGTACCATGCTGCTTTGGTTACTATAGCTTTGTAGTATATTTTGAAGCCAAGTGGTCGGATGCCTACAGCTTTGTTCTTTTTGTTCAGGATTGCTTTGGCAATTTGGGGTCTTTTAGAGTTGGATATAAATTTTAGGATTGATTTTTCTATTTCTGTGAAAAATGTCATTGGTATTTTGATAGGGATTACATTAAATCTGTAAATTGGTTTGCCTCATATTGTCATTTTAACACTATTAATTCTTCCAATCCATAAGCATGGAATATCTTTCCATTTTTTGTGTCCTCTTCAATTTCTTTCAGCAATGTTTTATAGTTTTCCTTGTATATATCTTTAACTTC